GCAGGCTGTGGGTACAGTGCATATTTACGAGTAATAAGGCAGGCAAGTCTGCTTACCCTCTAGCTAGAATCTGGACATGGCGAGTTAATACACATATACCACCCGCAGAGCAACGCTTAATTCGCCAGCTTCGGGTGAAATTGTTTTCAGTGCAGAGTCGCTAATCCGCGGATCACACACCAGCCGGAGGTTGCAACATGGCTGGCAGTTCCGCCTCTCCGACCGGTGCCAGCTGTATATGGCCGCCGAACTGAAAATCTCCGTGTTGTATTAGTGCTGGGCACTGACCTATTTTATCTCTTAGATCCGGCAAAATATCTACAGACCAGACTATCGCAATGCTTTGTGAAATGGGGCTAATGCCTCCGCGGTAAACTTTCACTCTCGTTTTAAGGGTAGCACTAGGATAGCATTTCTTGCGAAATATAGTGACGACAACAGCATCGCAAACTATCGCATTATAGGTAAGCATGAATCATTCAGGAGTGAGTAAGATGCGTCAAACTTTATGTAGGTATTATTGTATTATGCAGTCAATGCTCCTTTTAGCTCCAGTCTTCGCCAACCTTTATATTGTTAACGCGCACGTTGAGGTATATAACATCTAATAAGTTCAATTTTTTTAATATCAAGGTCGAGTGCAACTGAGCCAAATTCTAACAAGAGCTTGAAGTGTGCGGTTCTTTTAGTTTGTGACAATTTTGTTTTTCATGCAAGAAAGGATTGTCATGGATCGATGGGGTTTCATGGTTTCATGGACAAAAATACCAAGAAGCGCTAGTTGCAAGACTATACGCAAGTGCTCTCAGCTGTGCACACTGCACGGTTATCTGCAAAGGTGCTAGAGTGTGATATTTACGTTTTCAAGTGAGCTTTGAAGCTATTTAGCCAAAGAGGAAGGTGTCATTAAGTGGCTCAATTCGAACGGTTGTCGAATATCGTCAACATATCGTCGATATAGCCACATCAGCCCGAGTCGCGATCGACGTTCGGCGGCCATACCCTATACCCAGTCCGCTTCGAGCTGGGGCTTTCACCGGGGGGTCGCTCGCGCAGCGCCGGTGCCGGCGCGCCCGCGCAGCGAAAGTGCGCCCATGCAGCGGATGGTGGCGCGGCCTGGCACCGAGTGGCGTCACTGCAGCGCCCGTCCGATGACGCCGGTCGGCGCCGACGGTCGGTGACGTAACGCGCCGGCCGGCCAGCTGACCGACGCGACGGCGAGCCTTTCTTGCCCGCCGGCGGCGCGTGAATGTTTTGCTGCCGGCGCCGAAGGTCACTGGGCCAGTTGGTCGCGCGCGCGGCGAGCGGCACCGAGAGGGGCCACATCTCGGCGGCCAGCTTCCCTTTCACGACGGTGCCGGCAGTGCCGTCAGCGCCCGTCACGAGGCCGCGTGTCACAATCGACGGGCAAGGCCGGCCGAGAGGCGCCGGCGAGTGTAGTTACACCGCGGAGGGCCGCGACGGCCGGCATCTGCGCCCGGGCGTGGCTCCACTTCACGCTCGATTGGGAAACCAGCTCTCCGACGACGGGGGTGACGTGACAGGAAGGAACGGGAGGACGCTGATGCCGTGTCATGGGCAGCACAGCATCCATCCGAGATGCATTGCTGGGACGTCATATAACTTATAAGTGAACCTCCGCACGGTCTAAAATGTGGCAACTTTGTAACGCCCTCACTGCGAGAGAATGTTTTGCAGGGACACCGGACATGGAACTTCAGTGAGTGGTAAGCTCCCGAGTTCTCGCCGCTTGTGTGCATAGCTATCTCAGCTCAAATATTCATAAAAGTCACCAGGAGTCAGCTTAGTTACGTGACTTCAACATTATAAGACAATCGGGGAAGGGGGGGGCAGGGTAACTGTTGTTTTGGACCCGGATGATGCTGAAAAGCGATAGGTTCGATGAGAGTTGCAATGAAAATACTTCGATCGGCAATCGGCAGACGGCAATCTGAAGTACGCCAAATGCCAGACCAAATACCGCGCCCTCACTATGTTTCTAGAAAAAAAAAACAAAAACTTATGCTGACTAGTGAAAAAAGATTGTCAAAATCGGGAACATGAATCAGTGAATGCTACTTTTGGTGACCTATAGTGACCTAAGCTTTGACAAAAACCATATTTATAATTTAAAGGGACCCTCCCACCTTAACATTAGAATTGAGTTGAGATAGCCAAAATGGGGTCCCTGGCTCACAATTACCGGTTTCGGCACTCACAACATCGAGAAATGCCTTAACTCCGAAATATTGAATTTCAAAATTGCAGCATTTTGATTCAGAGGGGCTAATGCTTAGGAATACCCCTCTGAATGTGTCAACGTCAGCGCAAATATCTAACGATTTTTAAATGTTTGACTAAAACGTTTTGTAGCACGCGGTGGTATATGCTATTTGCGCGCAACATCTGCCGCAAACGCCGCACTTCTAAAATAAAGTCGCTAGAAACAGCGGAGATCCCAAAAAAGTAAACAAAAGTAAAAGTCGAATATCTTGAAAACCGGTGAATATTTTTCGGTGAAATTTGGTAGATATTCGTTTTTGCTCTTTCTGAACCGAGCGACATCACTTTCATGCCAATTCATAAACTTTTTTTGAAGGTGGGAGGGTCCCTTAAAAAAAACTTATAGAGAGCTGCCAGTCGCTTTATCGTGACATTCGACGTGGCATAAAGAAAGTAACACGGTGGTCGGTGACTGTAAAATCAGATCGGTGACCGGACCAGATGCCCCGGGCCCGGACGGTCCCCGGCTTATCCCAGGGCACACCGTGTGATGTAGGTATTGTTCGCCCCCAGAGGCAGACACACTGTGATGTATGGAGGCGGTATTTGCCCTGGTGCAGAGCGTCGCGTGACACCCTTCTGGCCAAGGAACTCGCTGTTTGTACTTTGTACCGCTTCAGCACTGTGACGGGATGGAGAAACACGGACAAAATTTGGTGGCAGCTTCTCCCGCAGACATCTGCCGTGGAAGCCCTCTCTAGTTCTACGGGCTACATATACCTACTTCCGACTTCGCGTGTCAGAGTTGCACTTCCGACTTCCGAGGTCGGCTGCAATGTTAGGAAGCGGCCGGTTTCACTGCAGTACATCCGCGGCGCACCGCGTGTGGGTGAATTGTGACGGCTCTATCATCGACAACGTCACTAGCGCGGCGGGGCGCATAGGCGGCGGAACGGGGAGGGCAGCGGGGCACCGTGCCCCCTTTGATTTTGGCATTTTAACATTAGCCCTATGGGCGTTGCATGAAAGAATGGGACCAAAAGTCGGCAGTGCCCCCACTTAATTGAAGGTGTTCCGCCGCTACCGGTAGTGGCGGAACACCTTCAATTAAGGGGGGGGGGGCACTGCCGACTTTTGGTCCCATTCTTTCCACGCAACGCCCATAGGGCTAATGTTAACCCTCGCATGTGTGCGGCGTTTGCTAGCTTCTAATGTGTAGGGGGGGGGGTCGGTTGGACCCCCCCCCCCTTGCCGTTTGGCCCCTGATCGAGCTAGAGCTTCGCGGAAAAACGAGCGTGTTGCCCGTGACGAGAGGAAGCCGATGATACCCAATTTTAAGGTCCTAGGTCATTGGTTGACCTTCCAGGTCAGGTCAATGACCCAAAGTCGGGAAAATCGGGACCTGTTAGAAAGTCGTAAAGTGTGGCTGCTAAGGGGTTTTTCGGGGTGCTGATCACGAATATCGTGTTAGTTTTGATCACAGATGATGTCTTGAAGCATTTAGACCAGGTCGGGTCAGGTCAGGTCAGGTCAACCAGTAGGCGTCGTGAATGGGTATTCGTAGTACGTGTCAACCGCCTCTGACAGCTTCGTAACATGTTACGAAGTCACCAAAACTACTTCGTAAATGTTCAAATGGTTGCTAAATTCGAATTCAGCTCCAAAAACTAGCCTAGAAACATGTAAAACTCGAAAAAGTGACCCGAGGTCACTCGAGGTCACCAAAGGTCAATGACCTGACCTGACCTTCAGGTGACCTTGACACACACGGGAGTAACATCAAATCACATGTTTGAACGTTTGAAACCACGAAAAGCTTGCAAACACGCGGCTAGTGCGAGCCGACATACGCGAAATCGCGATTCCGGCCAAACAGGGTCTCGGAAAAGAGGTCACAGGTCAAAGGTCATTTGGTTCAGGGTCATGAAATTTTCAGGGTAGGTGTAAAATTGATCAATGCGAGGGTACTGAAAGTTTCGTCGCGATCGGCCGCTTTTTACGCGAGTTATTCGCGAAAAACCATGGGGGGGTCCATCCGACCCCCCCCCCTACACATGCGAGGGTTAAGACTCCCAAATCAAAGGGGGGCACGGTGCCCCAGTGCCCTCCCCGTTCCGCCGCCTATGTCTTCGAGAACCGCTCAGTTTCAAGTCGCTAAGAAGTGGATGAAATAATACAACAGCTGTAGCTCGGGCCTTGAGTCCGGATACTTCGACGCTCTCTCAACTGAGCTACGAGATAGAGACAGAAGTTGACGTAATGACATGATGTGGAAAGTGAAAATAATACCTAGGTATTGATGGAAATTTATGGACTTAGGTACGCTACAAGAAGATTGAATTGGTCAACCAATTCAAATTCAATCTACTTGTGGAGTAAGTCTATAGATTTTCATCAATAGTTACCACTTACCATTGAAGTTACTTGCTATCATGTTGATTTTATACATAAGAACCTCATTCATTTTATTTGTATGACATGTTTGAATGCAATTTTCTCAATAAGTGAAGAAAAATGTTGGTAGTGCTCAACAACACATTGGTAGTGCTCAGCTGAACATTGGTAGTGCTCGGGCATTCCCAGGCCTATACAAAACGACGCCCCTAATCCCTATAGAGTATAAGACCAACGATCAGCAGGACGTTTCGATTTTGCCTGATGACGTCATTTTCTTGAAAAATGTTTTAACACAATTCCACCTTATTTAGGACATCCTTGAAAAGCTGACTACATACACTTTTGGCGCACGAGTTTCATACCGGTGACGCGCCGATTTTAGGGGTAAGGCCGCTGGCTGGGTAGATTTTATTTTTAATTATTGCATTTCATCACTGTGTCAACTAGCCTGTCTGTTTCTGTCCCAACCATTAACTTGTTGCATTGCGATCTGTTATACTTTTCAGAATCCAGAAGCTTTGTACTCATCATTCTTCACCGATGGAAGATGCTGTGTGCCCGTTTGTCTACTGGTCCCAGACCAAAACAAAAGTTCACCTAAAAATTGATCTCAGGGAGGTAAAGGTAAGTAGGAAATGCATTTTCATTTTTGTGATGCATCAGCTCTTTTCTGGAGACAGCATGGGCATGACATTGCTCCGAACTCATGAAGTTCCACATGTGCGTACAGTGTCCCAAAATTAGTGAAGTTCGTAATTTTTAAGACCTTTGCCCATCAGAATTTGGGTTGAAAATGACATACAAATGAAAAAATCATATTTTTGCTTCCAATTTTACCAAAAGAACATTTTCCTGGATGGTCTTTTTATCCTTCACTCTACTACACCTGTATATAAAGTCACGCTGTCCCCACTTTTATGGGCCCTATCTAACCCTCAATTTTCCACTCATCCTCTTTTGGCTGAGTAATTATTCAGTCTGACGCCCAAGTGAAAATAAATTTTTTGGACACTACATATTGCAAACTCTGCTAGAAAGGAGGTAATTACCTGCTGGCAGTCTAGGCCAGCAGTCTGATTTCAAATTACCTTGGGTAGGTATATGACCTTTAGATGTGCTTGCTTTAGTTTATCAAATTGTCACAATAGTACTAATTAGTCTCATCCTACTCTAGCTTGCCTGTGTAGGTAGGTGTGGTATTTGCCTATACCCGCTCAGAACAACAATCTCGTAATCAGCAATAAGATTTGACAATTCTTTTGTGGATATTCCTGTTAATTCATGAACAACACTATGGTGCTGCCATATCAAGCTTATGTGGATAGCAGTTGAAGGGCTGTTTCCATTTGTACAGAAGCCGGATGTGGATTTACTTCCCGAGCAGCTGGTGTTCAGGGCTGAAGGTCTGGGCAACTCTGGCAACCAACTGTATTCCTTCACCCTGGATTTGTTCCAACAAGTCATACCAGAGGTGAGCAGAGCTCTGTGAATTTTGTAATGATCAACTGGGTGTGAATGCAATATGTATTCAATTGTTTGACCAGTTATTTTATTATTATTAAAGCTTTGCTATTTGGTTATAGGTACTGGTTCACAGGCATAGTTATAGTTACACACCACAATAGGCAGGGAGGGAAGGAGCTGCCATTTGTAAATGGTTGCCAGCACCATAACTGCAATAGCCTGCTGTATTTCCTGTCTCAGTAGCGCAGCACCTGGTGTAACACGCTTATTCCCCACACTCAGGAGACCCATGTAACACGCTGATCTTCCCCACCCCCAGGAGACCCAGTACCAGGTGTCAGACCGCAATGTTCAGGTCACGCTGACCAAGGAGGACGAGGAATGGTGGCCCCACCTGACTCGCCAGAAGACCAAACTCCCCTGGCTGAGGGTAAGATTGTACCAATGGGCAACAATGAATTATAGCCAGTGACCATTTGTTTGCAGTCATTAACTCATTATTTTTCTTATGTGCTCTATTTTAAAAAGTGACTATGCTACTAGGGGACCCATCCTTTGCTCAATTTTGTTATTTTATTAGAAACTGGTGAACGTTGCCGATCATTAGCGGCGGAACACCTTCAATTAAGGGGGGCACTGCCGACTTTTGGTCCCATTCTTTCCATGCAACGCCCATAGGGCTAATGTTAAAATGCCGAAATCAAAGGGGGGGGGGGGGCACGGTGCCCCGGTGCCCTCCCCGTTCCGCCGCCTATGTTGCCGATCCTTAGCAGGACTGTCCGAACAGTGCCGATCATTAGCAGGAGGACTGTCTGTGCCGCCTGCGACTCTCACGCAGAGGGCTGTGCTGACCGGGCAGCCGGCCGCTCCCCGCTCCCCGCTCCCCACCCGTGTTTACCGCCTCAGCAGATAGTGAGATGACTGACAGATTGCTGTCTGGGCAAAAACCCAGATAACTCGGGCGGTCTGGAGCGGCAGATACTGCTGACAGCGGGAAGATTGACACGCCCACACGGGCCGGCCGCGGTGTCGCCCTCCGACTGTCGCTATGTGCGGTCGGCCCCTAACTGGACCCGCCCCACCGTGCAGACGAAGGGTTACAGCGGCTGGGGAACGGCCCATATGGTTTTCGACACGTTTACTTAGCTCTGAATTTCTTCTAACTGAAGTGCAAACAATTTTATCGTGTTTGCTAACACAACACTGCCATGCTGAAAACTATCAAGGAACGTCGATGATTGCAGATCGCAATGTGATTCATCGCTGGGCGCTGGCATAATACAGTGAAGCCCTACTACATGAAATCGATCTTCTATACCTCAAGTTATAGTTGCAAACTACACAGCAGGACACTCAACATATTCGTGTTTAGTTGCTCCATCCTGACCGTGTCACGCGCTCAAGCTCCAGAGAAATTACTCGAGTGATCGGTTGAGTTCAGAAACATGATTCGTGTTTTTAAAATTGCCGACATTCAGTGTTTGAGCAACTGTTCACTGCTCATTGCTCCCAAAGTGGGTGATCTACGAATCGTAAATAAATGACTCCGCTCCTCATACCACTGGTAGCCGCCGACTGCAGCGTCCTCTATAACTCTGGCCGCCAGGTGGACTTTGACAGGTGGCGCTCGGAGAGCGAGGACGAGGCCGAGGGCCGGGACGTGATGAGCGACTACCCGGACGTCTACGACCGGCTCCTACAGGAGGAGACGGCACCGCGGGACAACAGGCGTGAGTGAGGGGAGGGGAGAGGGCGCCCAGAGACAACAGGCTTGAGTAGGGGAGGGAAGACCGCGCCCCGTGACAATTATAGGCGTGAGTAGGGGGAGGGGAGGAGACGGCGCCCCGGGATAACAGGAGTGAGTGCCTGAGTAGGGGAGGACAGGAGACAGCGACTGGCTCCTGCAGGAGGAGACCGCGCCCAGAGACAATAGGTGTGAGCAGTGCTTTCCGCGATAACTAATTTTTGGACCTGCGATAACGATAAAACGATAAGAAAGGTTTACGATAACGATAAACGATAAACGATAAAAAATTCAACAAATTAACAGCGATAGCGATAAAACGATAAAACGATAACGATAATTGTTTTTTTTTTAAACAGCGATAACGAAGCGACAAACGATACAACGATAACGATAATTGTTTTTTTAACAGCGATAACAAAAGCGATAAGAAATAGAGCTTAAATAAGTGTACTTAAAGGTTATTTGCAGATCTATACACTAAGCAGATGGCAACAGGTTGCGCGCACATACTGTCGCGCGGCATACACTGTCGATCGTCTTCCATTTTTCCATCATCCCGTTTTACATTTTATCGTTTATCGTTGATAACTTTTGTAACTTGCGGTAAGTGGAGGAGCGATAATTTTGAAAATTTAGCGATAAAGGATAACGATAACTGATTTACTTAACAGCGATAATTATCGTTTATCGTTTATCGCTCATCCTATCGAATGCGGAAACCACTGGGTGTGAGTAGGGGAGGGAGACCTCGCCCCGGGACAACAGGCATGAGTGAGGGGCGGGGGCGGGGGATAGTGCAGCGGACTCTACCGGACGGGCTGGTAGGAGACGACTATTGACCATTCGCTACTTTTGACTGGGCCCTGTACTACTACCAGTTGGCCTGTGCAATGTTCTGCAACAATATATTTGTTCACATCTTCCAGTGAAATTACAAACATGCCTTTGAGAGCTCTGCAAAAACTTAACTGAGTGTTCTCACAACAAGTCAGCGCCTTCAGTGCGAAGTATTGTTCAGAAGGCCAAAGTTCCCTCGGAGGACTCACCGCCGCCCGCAGGTCGCCGTTTCCGGTGAATAGCCTATGTGAGAGCTAACTACTTGATCGTGTACAACCTGTTCGCCACTGTTTTCAGTGAACAACTTCCGCGAGAGCTACCTGATCATGTACAACCTGTGGCAGCTGCTGGGATTCGCCGTCATCCTCGGCAAGCTGGCGTTCCGCTATAGACTCGAGGGAGAGGGTGCGTACAGTACTTCTGCCGGGGTGGCGCTCTCAGCCTGCGCCTCGCTGGAATCGCAATACTTGGATTTGTGGTGGCTGCCTATGCTGCGATCATTTGAAAATTGAAATGTGCACGATGCATTATACTGCTATCTGTTATGTTTTAATATTGTAATAGTTCTGCGCTGGTGCTAATGCATAAAACATAGACATAAATCTGTTCTACGCTAGCCCCGCCCGCTGCCCGCTGGTCTGACCGACCGCCCGCTGCTGCCAGACTCGATGCTGAAGGCCTACGACACGGTGGGCGTCAACATGAAGCTGGCGCAGGGCCTGCAGGTGCTGGAGATCCTGCACCCGCTCTTCGGCATGACCAGGGGCGGCGTGCTCGAGCCGCTGATGCAGGTACGACTGTCAGGGACTGACAGATTCATTGCAGGGACTGTCGGGGTGCGCTACTCTGGGAGGGCGGGGCAGGGGGAGCGGTGCGCTACGGAACTGACTGGCTGAAATCTGTGTCGGACCAGCTTGGTTTTATCGGATTTCGCGCAATCTTATTTTACCAATGCATTCAAGAGTCTGATGGTGTGTTGTCAGGTGGCTGGCAGGAACCTGATGTTGTTCATATTGCGGTATTTGATGTCATATCTCTGTCTCAGGAGCCTGACGTTGTTCGCGGTGTTGTATTTGATGATTTATCCCCGTGTCTGTCGTCAGGTGACGGGCAGGAACCTGACGTTGTTCATATATTGCGGTATTTGATGTTGATTTCATATCTCTGTCTCAGGATCCTGACGTTGTTTGTGGTGCTGTATTTGATGTTATATCCCTGTGTCTGTCGTCAGGTGACTGGGAGAACCTGATGCTGTTCGTGGTACTGTATGCTGTGTTTGATGTCATATCTGCCATATTTGATGTTATATCCCTGTGTCTGTCGTCAGGTGACGGGCAGGAACCTGATGCTGTTCGTGGTGCCGTATTTGATGTAATCTCTGTGTGTCGTCAGGTGACTGGCAGGAACCTGATGCTGTTCGTGGTGCTGGAGGGCGAGCCGAGGATGCAGACCAAGCCGGCCGTATTCTACCTGTTCGTCGTCTGGAGTCTGGTCGAGCTGGTCAGGTATGTCAGACTGGAGTCTTGTCAGGCAGACTGTACCTCCGGGGACCCGCACTGGCTACTGCACACTCCGTATCATCAGATCAGCTTTGCCTATAGCGCTGCTGTACTCCAGGTACCCGTATTACACGCTCCGTGTTATCAAATTAGTCATACCTTTTCCATTGTGCGTCAGGTTACCCGTACTGTCAAACCCGTGCTACCTGTCGCTCCGTATTACCAAATTAACCTCGACTATGTCGCTGTGCTCCAGGTACCCGTACTACACGCTGCGCATCATCCGGCGAGAAATATCGTTCGTCACCTGGCTGAGGTACACCATCTGGATCCCGCTCTACCCGCTGGGCTTCATCACCGAGGGCGTCCTCTACCTCAGGTGAGAACGTACCTGCCGCTCTACTACGGAGTGCGCCCTGTACCTCAGGTGATACTATCTTTCAAGGCTGGATAGCGCTATACCATCTGCACGCTTTCGGTGCGATTCTGTTTGAACTCTGGTGAGGCAGCCCCGCCTTAGCTCCGATAATTTACCTATCGTCTTACTCCTTTTGTGCCCAAGTGTATCTGGTGCATGTATTTTCCACAATTGTGTTGTAGGCTGATCTCTAACATAGAATTCACATAGAATTCTCGCCATCGGCACCCTCTGACAGGTACTGGGCAGTTCTATTATGTTAATTTTCTTTCTTGTTTACTTGTTTGATTTTACTTGGTTGGAGCTTGGTATTACTTTTAGTGGCTGCTCGATATAATGGCCAGGACTAAGCTAACGTGACCGAACCGGGTGGGGGATGGTGCCTAGTGATAGGCTGTGGGCCTTTGTGCCATCTCCCCATAACACCACTGTCGTCAACATTGTTTCTAAATAAATGGTTGTTGTTGTTGTTGTTTTGACCGCGCCTCGTCCACCCGGCCAGGGCGCTGCCGTACTTTGAGGAGACAGGCCGCTTCTCCCTGGCCATGCCGAACGCAGCCAACATGGCCTTCCACTTCCCCACCGTGCTGAAGGCGCTGCTGCTCTGCGCATTCATGCCAGGTAGGCTTCATGGTGGCGGGGAGCTCTCGGATCACTCTGGGACAGTGGGTCGACGGTGGAGAGCTCTCCGAGCGCTCTGAGACGGTGGCGATTATCGATGTCACATCGAGCACCACCCATATTCTGTGCTTGACTTGTTTGGCGGTTGAATGATAGCTTTCACAGTGCCATTGAAAAAAATAATTATATTTTATTTGGTCTTCCCACTGTGCAACTGAAGCAGCCCGGTGAAATGTTCCCTCAGTCCTCCGTTTTGCCCCAGCTACCGGCTGCACCTCTCTGGCCCCGCCCTGACCTTGGGTTCCCTCTGCCGCCGTGTTACAGGCATACTTGTGGTGATGCGGCACATGTACCGGCAGCGACGCAAGGTCATCGGACCAGCAAAGGTCAAACAGCACTAGGAGACGGGACGCGCCTGGGCAGAGGAGGGGTCTCCGGTCAGTCAGTGGCGGAAGGGAAACACGAAAACATCACGCGTGAAAAGAACGTTTATCGAAACAAGTGCGGGGTGACTGAATCACTGATGTAGAGGAGTGTTTTCGGATCGATTCGTCAACGATTTTTGTCTTCTCAACTAGTGTTTCTCATCTGTTCTTTTTTTACTTTTTAAACATTTCTCGGTGCTTATTGATAGACTCGGCTCTGATCAGTGTCAGCTAGTCCGCCGGTACCAGCTGTTTCGCCGGCTGTCCGCTGGATGGCAGCACTGCCGGGTCGCCGCGCGGACCGCAGGAGTAGGTGACCGTGGTGATGTGATATCAGGTGGAAGTGGGTCGTGTCTATCTCCCCGGATGGTCGGTGGTTCACCTACTGTCCTCCAGCGCGCCGCTGACCAGCCGACCGACGGGCGCCCCGCCCAGCGGCGGCAGCGGGGTAGTGGGCGCAGCGAGCTCGCTACCGTTCACGGTTACTGGCCGGTGGTAGGGGCGTACAGTCCCCTACCGCTGGACTCTCCCTCCTGGACCGCTGACCGGCTGCAGCGGCAGACGTAGTTCGGGTCTCGGGCCGGCCACTTGGGAGGCAGGTGGAGACTGATGAGATGCCTCCGCCGCCCCTCTCTCCCTCCCGCCTCTGTGTGGTCGGTGTAGGGGGCTAATCTGGGTCGTCAGCTGCCTGTTCAGATGCCGCCGGCGCGGTGCTATTCCCTGCTCAGAGTGTTGTGAGGTGGGATAGGCTGGTCCTGCCCTGGAGCCGACTATCGTGACTGCCACGGGTGTGACGTGTACAGAGTGGGATACGTTAATGACTAGTCGGGTACCGTTAGGTCGCCAGGGTACAGTGCAGACTGAAGGTAGGCGCTGACATTCAGTTCAGATCAGCTGTCCGGTGGCCACTGCATGTAGCGCTTAGTTGCCGGAAGCAAGCACTCGCCCGTTGGAGGGCCAGACTTATGGGTACAACGGATCAGAGGAGACACGGGGTGCCGCGGTCCCTGCCCCGCCGGTCCCTGTTAAATCAGCGACTCAATGTGCGGTACTGCACGGTACTCAGATGCTTCGCCGGCATTCGTTCGGATCTTAGAGTCACGTTGCGTTGATTTGTTTGCAATACGCTCAGAATCATATGTGAATTCGGCTCCAGTGGGGCCCGCGGATAGTTGTATGTCGCCGTGGGTTGGATGGAAACATTCACTCTGAACTCGCCAGCCGTTATCAGCAATGACTGTCGGCGAGACTAGCCTAAGACGGGTTCTAGGCTACAGATTGTAAATGCCAGTGATTACATAAATCGAATGATTGTGACGATTGCTAGTGACATTCCAGTGGCCTGCGATTACCGACGCGGCAGCCACGTAGTCAGGTGGTGCAGTCGGTGCACCCTTGTGATGTGCACTCTTGTCACCGGGATCACGGGCATTACTGTCGGTCGACAATATATTTGTGTGTGACTGAGACTGTGTGCGGAGTGGGTCTGCGGTTTCCCTATCCTCACGTGCGTCTGGGGAGCCACGGGGCTTAATTTGAAGTAATTCATGGTATCGGTTTTAGCCCTCATACGCACAGGCGGATCCAAAAGGCAATCTCGGACGCTGCGGGAGGATATACCCTCGAAAAAGTTTCTCCAATTAAAAAAAAACTTCGGCTTCCGATTCCAAATGCTGCGCAGTTTTAAGCGAGCCTTTCCTCATAAGAAATATTTAGGAAAATGGCAAATTTATTTCGGGCGCTGCGAGGGGGGTGGGCATTTATTTGCCCCTTGGATCTGCCAGTATTCACGTCACTTTTGTAATTGGTGCGCAGCTACATAATGGAGCGGGCACGAGCATTGTACAAATGAAAGGAACGCACCCCATTTTTATTTGTGAGCCTTTTACACAGGCGCTTGTAGTTGTGCAAAGCCCATTTTAAAAAAAGTTTTACTAAGATTTTATTGGCCCGGGGCGAGAGCCCGAAAGCATTCAGAGTAGCTCAGTAAAAGTTTAAAAGCCAATATGTTTCTGAATTCAGACATCATCGTAAAACAAAGTTTACAGGTCTATCTCAAACTTTTGAACTTGCGAAGGACAGTATCAACATTATATTTGTTTTAAAAAGCTGCGTTCAAGCCCGAGCGCATGGCTTTCAAGATTTCAACTCAAAACCAACAAATGATCTCACAAGCTTGAGCACTATGTTGCTGCGCAATGGCAATGATCCAGTTACAGAACCGAATTTCAACGAATCTGTCGAGCAAAGCAGACCATGTATTGTATTTGCTAAATGCAGAGTTATTCAGCAAATTTATTATTTTTGTATGTGACCTCATAAGAATTAAGAAGTACGACCTTCAAAGACGTAGCCGAGAGTCGGTAACCCTTTAAATCGGCTTACTTTAGCCGTACTCCCAAGGCCCTATATACCTACTCCTAAATGCTTTCCGTGCATGAGTATCTTCTAAGCTATGTCCAAGCATTTGTGTTTGGAATTCCTATTTCGTGGACATTGGGTACGATTTTCATATGCAGGTGTGATGAAACGCGAAAAGCCCGCAGCAGCCAGACGCTCGGCAGTTCGCGTGTGCGGACGACTTTGACACGGTTGAATGGAGCCTCAGGCTCTGCAGCAGCAATCACTGAACTGACCATCGTGCGAGACTGCGGTCAGATTTCCACACATGTGGGAGCGCTTTACCGATCAGATTGTAGGGCGAAGGTTCAGCGAAGGCCGAATTGCTGCTGTCATGTCTGTCCAATGTGTCCAATACGTCCGTTGGCCAACCATGATTATGTACCTACCGGCGCTTTGTGTTCCCTCTTCCCCTTCCATTACCGTTGTTGACCCGTTTGTTTCCCCTCCCCATCCCCTCACTGTTGCTGGCCCGTTATTTATCATTACCCCTTTTCTCTCCCTCCCTATCATCCCTCTTTCACTCCGCTGTTTCCTCCGTCCTCCTTCCCTGTATGCATGACTTCTGTTGCAGCCAGTCCATCCCACACCCCAGTCTCTGAGCCCGGCCTGCAGTAGCCCTGCAGTTCCGTATCCGGTGGAGTGGTCTCTGTTCGATCACCTCTGCATGTAGCAGCCAGTCCATCCCACACCCCAGCCTCCGACCCCGGTCCGGCCTGCAGAAGCCCTGCAGTTCCGTATCCGGTGGAGTGGTCTCTGTTCGATCACCTCTGTGTGTATCCCCAACACATGTAGCAGCCAGCCCATCCCACAGCCCAGTGTCCGAGCCCGGCCTGCAGTAGCCCTACAGTTCCGTATCCGGCGGGGACGGTCGGCGCTGCTCCGTCACCGAGTCCGTCATGCTCGGGCGGCTCTTCTGCGGTCGTCCTCCCCGGCGGCTCAGACCGGGCCGCGCCCTGCTCTCCCTCTCCCTCTCGCTCGCCCTCTACCTCTCCCAGGAGCCCGTCGAGCGGCGGCACCGGCAGTCCAGTCTGCAGCCGGCTGTGGCACCTGGAACGTCTGTGCCGCGCCCCTGGACGACGCTGAGCCATGTGAGTGGAGGCTGGGTCAGCCAGCGCCGGGTCAGGGCGGGATAGTGGTTGAGGGCCCTCCAGTGCCGTGGAAGGGGTAAAGGTGGACACTGGACAATGGGTGGGAGGATAGTCCAGGTGCTGCTCGAGTGTTGTCAACCTCTTGTGCTGTTTTTTTGTACTTTCGCTTGTAAATCTTTCATTCCGTATCCGCCGATTCCACCATCTTTCCGACGTGCTTTTCCAGACATTTTTAGGATTGCTGTTTAGCCGTAACGTTTAAAAAATTAAAGGCAAGATCATTTGTAAGTTAATTTCAGTTTGTACTTTGAAGGCCTTGATTGCGAATGCAGCCACGCATTGTTTCAGTATTTTTCAGACTTTGATTCTCATTTTCGTTTCATACTTTCTTGCCTTCCATTGGCCTCAGGAATCAAAGACTATACATAAAATGCGCAAGTGAAAAGTGGTGTGATAAAACAATAAGAAATAAAAACGACTTCCCAGTAAACCGCTGCCTTGAGGATATAATGGGATTGAGACCAATGAAACGGTCACGGAAGACATGCACGTTGCATAAATCAACGTATCATTGTTTATATTTGCTTCTAAAGATCCAAAGGAGCAATACTTATCGGATCTATGATGCCATATTTATCCAGGTAGTAAAATCAGTTAGGCAGAGGAGTCACGTGAAAGCGGTGAATATCGCGCAGTCATAAATGGAAAGTATGACGTCTGATAGCGAGCTGAACGGTCGTGTTTTATGCATGGGTGTAGGAGCGCCAAAAATATTGGTGAAGGATGCCACCTGAACCTAATGAAAAGGGACAGGACCGTGCCAACCAACACGCACAGTGCAAGCGGGGGGGGGGGGGGGGCGAATTTCGCCAACCCCTTGTTTTTCGCAGATATCTTACGCCCTTATCATCCCATTAACGTCAAATTTTTAATGCCTGCCTAAAACTGAATTGTGCATCTTGCCATGACAGCAAGATGTAAATCAAGGCCTGGGCTAAGGAATTTTGACTACTGGGGCAAATGGTCAACGTGTGTTAACCCGCGCCCTGCTGGGAGGGGGGGGGGGAGGTTTTTGGACACCCATCCCCCCTGCGGTTTTTCGCGGATATCTGAAAAACGGCGGCACCTTATCATCTATCAATTTTATACATTTTGTGAAAATTTCAGACCAGGGTCCTTCAAGGTCAGGTCACCAGGTCGCTACAAGTGACCTCACCTCATAAACACATCATAAAATGTTTCAATGTATGCCATAGCTACACCAAGTGACGGATCGCTTTGAAGCTTTCAGCAATTGATAAGTGTAACAGTATGTACAAATTCGGAATTTTCATATCGGTGACCTAAGGTCGGGTCAATTTTGCGACCTCTCTAGGTATTATAAGTCAATGGGAGAAAATTCAAAACCGTCTTTTTCGGACGAAAGTCATTCTAAACACTCTCAAACACTAAATTACAAGTAACTTTGACACACTGAACATGAAAACGGCACCCGTGACCCCTGTTTATGCCCCTAAGGTCATCTCAGGTCACGAATGGTGTCTAACAGTTTTTTGCGACTAACTTTTGAAAGAGGCATGCTAGAGCGATGAAAACGCCTTATATATGTTCAGCTCGACGATACAGATCCACTAATATGCAATATGACAATGTCCGGTCAGGTCATGACCTTGACCTGAGGTCAAATTTTCAAGTTGACCTTTCAAGGTTAAGTTATAGTTCATTCGATGCGTCTTGACGAGAGGAACTCGATGCCGGTGAAAATAAGCTCGTACAAGGCTTGAGTCAAAAGTTATTGCAGAAAAACTGTTTCCGAAAAAAATCGTCTATTTTTGCAGTTTTTGCCCCCTGCAGGCAAAACCGTTGACGTTAGGTCAAATCTGAGAGAATCACTCAGAAAGGGCGTTAATAGGGCTATCGAATGCGCTTTTCCGTGGCGCTGTAGCTCTATTGGTTCCCGAGCTATGCGTTGGCTTCTTGGAAATTGTCGACATTCGACCTGGAAATCGGCGAAATTTTGCCTTCAATGACCTCTGGTGGCCTGACCTTTGACCTGACCAAAAAAGTGACCGAAGTGATTTCGTCATTATTTTTGGCGCTCTTTCGAACGCCGCCTTCTGCGTATCGCTACGTGGCCCAGGAGCCGAGTTAGAAGGGGGGGTGTTCAAACACTCCCCCCCCCCAGCAGGGCGTGGAAATCCAGGACCCCCAGCCGGGCGCGGGTTAAAAAACAGACATTTGATCAACCGTCGAATCCAGTAGTTCTAAGCATAGGTAGGTGAAGACCCTCCCTTGCATTGTCCAAGATTGGTGAAGGATCCTTCACCAATCTGAAACTTTGGTGAAAGGTATCCTTCAAGAAAGAGATACGTTGCTACACCTATGGTTTTATGTGATTTGCTTTGCCGTTTGGTCCGATCTTTAATGCCTCTTTGAAAGTTTCGAGCATATTGATATCCTTCATGGTTTTTTCGCCCTGTAGCCTGTCCCACGTTAAGTTGCTGCTTGTCCAGATTTTGCTTGTTTTAAAATATTTTGAATAATCGATAATCCCGTTTTAAAAACGAATGAGCTGATAGCAGCATTTCCGAAAAAAGCTTAGGATGTAGAACAAAACAAAGACGTCAGCCATGTGAAGAGTGTATGGCCTTCTGCGGCAGCTCCCGCTGCAGCTATCACCCGTCTCTCGGGCAGCCCCCACCGGCCCTCACAGCCCCTGTGCCTTCCCCCTTTGTTATCCCTCCCCATCGGCAGCCTCTACTGGCACATCTTGTATCCCTCCTCCATCCCACCAGTCCTCACCGTCCCCACAGCTCCGCCACCACCCACTCTCCTCACCGTCCCCACAGCTCTGCCACCACCCACTCCAGCCTCCTTACCGTCCCCACAGCTCTGCCACCACCCACTCCAGCCTCCTTACCGTCCCCACAGCTCCGCCACCACCCACCGGTCTCACCGTCCCCACAGCTCTGCCGCCACCCACTGTTCTCTCACCGTCCCCACAGCTCCGCCACCACCACTCCAGCCTCCTCACCGTCCCCACAGCTCCGCCACCACCACTCCAGCCTCCTCACCGTCCCCACAGCTCCGCCACCACCACTCCAGCCTCCTCACCGTCCCCACAGCTCCGCCACCGTCCACCGGCCTCACCGTCCCCAGTCCCACAGCTCCGCCACCACCCACTCCAGCCTCCTCATGCCGTCCCCACAGCTCCGCCACCACCACTCCAGCCTCCTCACCGTCGTCGGCGCGTGTTGCAGGTCGCCGCTGTGGATTTCCGCCCTCTGTCTGGCCCTCGCCGCCAGTCATGTCTGCTGTGACGATAACGGAGAGTACGGCCTCAAAGTCGAGTACGACCCGACGCTCTTCAACGGCACAGACGTGAGTACTGAGTACGGCCCCAAAGTCGAGTACGACCCGACGCTCTTCAACAGCACAGGCGTGAGCGCGACACTGTCGTGATGGCGGCACGGTCGTGAATACGGCACATACGGGAGTACGTCGTAGGCGGGAGCACGGCACAGATGTGTGTGCGACACTAACACGGCATCACGTCAAGCATACAGGCTTATTCATAAAGCCGCTGTAAGCTAATACGTTTGACGTTCTTCTCATTCCAAAGGCTGCTGATCAACCCAATATCGTCTTTGGATAGCTCAGTTCGTATGCTCGATGACTGACGGTGCGCTACAAGTAGCTGTCCTTTTGGTATATCACAGACAAAACCAAAATGACAACGTTCAATTCTTCTAACAAGCAGCTGTGCCTACACACCGCCGAAAGTAGGTATATGTAAGTCCATAGCAGTACAGCAAAATCGCATAATCATATAGCCTTGGTCTGCTGTTTTTGTTAAAACGATTTCATAATCGGATCTGGCGAATATATGCAAATGTCTCGTTTTGTACCCGTATTATCTCGTCAGTTGTTTCCACACATTCCACAAATCTGTGGTCGAAAGAACTAGCGTCGATGATGGACGACCGCCGATAATGTGAAATTAATCACAGCCTGATCGCGGCTCGTAGACGGAGGCGGATCGCTCACACGGGTGCCGGTCGGAGTCTGCGCTGAGTGGGTCCACTCGGTGATGGCTCAATCCAGCGTCACAGCCGCGGGCCAGGCGGGCCGATCACAGACGGCGGCTCCTGACCCTAAACTGCGCGGGGCGGGGCGCGCGGGGCACCATCCCTCTGTGGACGCGTGACTGTGGTCTCTGACTGGCTGTTTGTGGGTGTCTGCGGCTGTTGTGTTGCGTCTGAATGACTGGGTGACAGCGCCGCCCGCGCAGCTGTCTGGGGCCGGAAAACTGAGCCGTCACCGACCGCCCCGGGACGCGGCGACGGCCAGTCTCTCCTCGGCTTTCTCCGGGAGATCGTGCAGTGCACGCGCCGCGCCGGTGCGGCACCTGGCGTCACCAACCACGAGAGTGACGCGGCGCGAGATGGGCACGGATGACGTCACACTGTCATGACGTCATCGGCGCATCGCGCCATCAGACCCGTGTCTCGGTGTCGCACGGGGGATTGTTAGGAGAATGGAGATGGGCCGGTAACAGGAGCGGCAGCCGGCGGTTTTTAGAGCACATCGGACATTACAAGCAGTTCCAACGGCTGGATAGCGGGAGAAGACGCTGAACCACTGTGAAGCTCCAAGGCGTCGTGTTGGATAGTCGCTGACCAACATAAGCAGAATCAATTTCGTGGGCCCTGAACCGCTGCATTCTCAGCGGAGCCGGTGTATCAATCTCACGCCAGCTACCGGCGCTACCGCTGCTGCTGCGCCGCTCTGACGAACAATAATACCTTTCTCCGTGCGTTTCGTGTCGTCCATGCTTCTCCACCACCTGACGAAGGTATTGTTCCCGCCGTCGGAAGAGAAACTCGCCGAGACCATCTGTGTCAACGGTTGCAAAGGCAATGCATGAGTGTCATCGACACATCCTGCTGAGCCGTCTGATGCCCTCTAATGCCGATGTAGGTTTCCAGTTTCGTTACGCATGACTGATAATGATATTCACAGTGATGCGATTCAGCGTCTGTTCGGACTCGACTGGGCGTTCCTGTTCAGTTGCTTGAAGTTCACAGAACCGGCTGGGCACTGGGCAGTGGGCAGTTTTATATTCGTAGAACAGTCCGGGGGAAATAATTATTTCTCGGTCGCTCCATTGGACTAAGGTGGCATCATGTTCGGATACTTTCTCCTGGTCAAAATCAAGAAAACAGATGGCTATGTTCTCTGGTCATCGCTTCATTTACGTATGTATCGCACTGATCATCATGATATTATGTTTTTAAAGGTGGATAATGATAACATTGGCTCAGTGATAATGCATTTTTCGTGAAATGAAATTAGAGGCCAAACTAGTTTGCACCTGTCGTTCCGCGCCTGGGAGTACACTGATAGTTCTGCACCTCGCCTTTATCCCGCCTCTGTGCATTGCTGAAGGCCTTTCGCACGGCCTTTTTACTGCCTGTTATCATTGTGGATACATACGTGCAACTGGCCTTGTTTGAATCACTCTTGCAGTGAAATGATTTGCAATCCGTGACACGACCATTTAAACACCATTGTCCGCACGTCTCTTTACACGCTCCAGATGCCACACAACAGCACAACTCGCCCCATCTCCTTCCTGAGGACCCATACAGACCCCGGTGACGGGACCCCGCGTCCCCCAGTCCTTCCCGTTTGGTGCAGGCCCCGCCCGGCCCTGGCCTCGGCGGCAGGTCCGCCCGGCGCCGTGCTCCCATCGTTAGCCTTCGGAGCCGTGTGCCGTGGGGACCCCGCGGTCCGCCGGCCTCGGCCGCCCGTGGGGCCGCGGTGGCACAAAGTGGCGGACGGGTGTCGGCTTCCGGCCGGGCGGCGCCAGCCCCGCGGCGCCGCGGAGCCCCTGAGGCTTGTGGTCGGACTGGGCGGTGACGACGGGAGAAACTGCAATACGGCGGCTTCTGACATAGACGGATTTGTGTGCGTCTTTTTGACGCGCTGCCGATAATGGGCAGCCGGGCAGGCTCGTCCATTGGATAGATGTTGGTATTTGTTTTACAAATTAGTAAATGTTCTCATTTGTTCTCATTTGTTCTGTTATCTTTGGGCATCGTCATTCTTGAGCAGCGCAGTTGAAACACAAATGATCGACACTTGACGACCCACACACCCGATTATCAGCTCGGTTTATCGCGTATCAAGTTGACACACTAAATACACTTGATGCCGTTGATGTCCCATCAACCTCAAACTATCATCGTTTAGGCCAGTAACCGCGCTTTTATGCTGTTCCAACGCTGCATTTTATTGCACCATCTACTGTTGTTATTGCTTTACCACCGTCCCACACTGCGATCCACACATCCGTACCGCCTGCCGACCTGTGACACCTGACTTACATAGTGCGACCGAACCCTATGACACCTGACACCTGTGCTCCCTATGTTCAGGACCACCCCATCATCATTATGACGCTTTCCTGTCCCGGGCTGGCGGTCAGCAGTCAACACACCCAGAAAACGTGAGAGCGCACTTCCAGTAAGAGCATATCCCTCCTGAGTGACCATTTGTACGGCTGCGGGCTGGGTGGCCGTCACTGGCCTGTCCCACCAAGACGCTTCCGTACCAAGGGGCTGGGCTCTGCCGCTGCGGCACTCCAATCAGTGGTCGGACTCAGTCCAGGGTCTCCCTTTATTCACTGGTCCCACGGCATCGAAATAGCGTCAATAGACCGAAGCAACTAAAACATCAAAACAAACAAACACGCACAAACACAACACATCAGGCTTGCTTTTCAGATTTTCGCTGAGTCTTTTGACTCGTGGACTGGACGGCAGGTGTTGATGGAAGACCGCACTTGGCTGATCTAATATGACCTAATATGACTCCTCTCGCTGACCTAGTATGACCGTTTGTCCGGCCGACAGGTGCTGATGGAGGACCGCAACATCGCCTCGGACTGGATCCTGCGGGAGCTGCTGCCGCCCGAGCTGGACGCCGAGGACCTGGAGCTGGAGCTGCAGCTGCAGGAGGAGAACATTGCCGACGCGTGCCCGCCCGGACCCAAGGGCCTGCTCTGCCGGCGCCGGTTCGCGCTGCGCGGCGCCGACGAGTGCGCCGGAGGTGAGCGACGCGGGTGGCGGGGTGGCCAGCTGGGTGGGTATTTCCGGTAATTCAGTAGTGCGCTGGCCGGTTTGACCGGTTTGTGTGCCTATTTTAACTGTTTCTTTTGTATATGTTGGTGTGTTTTCGTGTGTGCCTTTCTGTTAGGATGACTTGCTTGTTTTTTTTCGCAGTATTTTGTTATTGATGCTATGCAGGTAGAATGTTTACCGCCTTGTTTTCGGTATGGGATGCCAATGATTGCGTCGGCACGGACTTATTAGCGCCCCATACCGGCGATCTTTTACGCAATTATCTTTGAGCCGGGTCTGCGGCTGTCACACCCATATTCTATTTCAGAGCGCTTCGTTTTCTAAAAAAGCGATATTCTCGCCACTTCGTATTTACCGCCATAGGTTTCATGCACCTCTGAATGATTTCGCGATGGGATCAGCACATGATTATGTATCGGAGGATATCACCCTACCTACCTACAAATTATATAAAAAAAAATATTTATAAAAAGTTTTCTATAACTTGTCAATCGGCCAGTTTCGGTATAGGACGGGAATTTGATAGATCGAGCAGACAAGTTGGGAGATGGGTTAGAGTCTCGGTGAAGTGCGTCGAGCATAAATCTTGTCGAAGAATAAACATTTCTGAAGTGTTGACTGGTCTAGGAGCAAATTATCGGACGCCATTTCTTGGCTGATGGTGAAATTCACATGATTAAAGCCATTTCAGTTTCAAAGCGTTCGCAATCCTCGATGAAAACGGTCGTGTTCATACCGTTGGTTTATCGTACCTGTGGCTGTGACCCGATCTGATTTGGGTTGATGGTAACTTTACTGAGGCCATCGCATGACCTAGCTGGTCATTGGTATCGTTCAGTACTGATGAAGGAGCTGTCGAGCGGGGCTACCACTCTGTAATCTTTATCTACCAGTTGCCACTTTTGAGCAGCTGGAAGGAAGGGGCAAGTCTTCCCGGAGCATAGCTAGGCCCTGGATAGACGGGGCCCACAGGTTGGGTTTCCCTGAGACAGAAGGGTAGGATGGTCCCGGACAGACACGGGCCGGTCCTCTCCACATGGTCCCCTCTGGGCAGGGCGGGACAGGGAGGCCCTGGACAGAAGGAGCCTACTCCACGGGCGGGCGGGTCCTCTCTGGGCAGGGCGGCCCTGGACAGACCGGGCGCTGGTCCAGCTTCCCTCTGCTTCCTGTTCCTGGTCAGAACTGGACCGGCCAGCGCCCGCTGCTGGCGGCGTCCCGTCAGCGCGATGGCCGCCAACAAACACTGTGTGATGAGCTGGTCTGACGGGCTATCCGATCAAGATGTACCCGGAAATGGGCAGTCGCTCCAAGGCCACCCACTGTGGGCTCTCGAAATGTGGCTGTACTGGGTATGTGGCCACGCCCAAGCGGTACAACGTCCTACACTGAGGCGTCACCCGAAGGCCTCAGCTGGGATCACGGCCCTGGTTGTGACGACGTGACAGCCACTGTCGACGCTCTGCTGCGCCAACTGCCGTCCGCGGGCTACCGAGCGCCGCCGCTGTGCCAGTCTGCAGTTAACCTTGCCACCGTGTCACCCGCTCCGACCCGGACCCGGCGAGCCGCGGTCGGGGTGGAGCGGGCCGACATTGACCTGTGACCCGAGCGTATCACTCCGACCGCTCCAGCTCACCGTGGCGCAACCCGCGCCGAGCCGAGGCCGGCGCGTGGCCCGGCGAGCTGCAGCGTCTAATGACGGCACTGATTGCCGCCGGGACCGTCCCGGCGCGGCCGCTCCACGAGACCCCGAGTCATTAACTGGCCACACGGGCCGCTAATCGGTCTCTCAGCTGGCTTCTTTATGACACGACTAAATGTCGGTGTCGCCTTGCGCCATGGGAGGGATGTCATGTGATATTGTACGGTTAATCACTTTCTCTGGTTTTGTTTCTGCCTTTGTTTCGCGCTTTCATTCTTCCATTCGATGTCTCTGTGAGCAGTTTCCCTGAGCCCTTTCGCTCTCACCCGGACAGTTTGTGGGATGAGCGCTCCGATCGGTCTCACGCCCGCGCTCAATTTCGGCCCGCTGCTGCGCTGGCGAGCCCGCCTGAATGCCTGCAATCTGACCAACTAGGGCAAAGCTGGCTGAAGGAACACCCTGGCAGCGTGTTCCAGTTAGATGTTGGCGCTCCTACCCATTGTGGGCAAGCCCAATGTGCCGCCAACACGCTTGTAAATCGAATGGGCGTCCGCCGTCCGCCACTGAGGAGCCCAGCGCGCCCTCGTAAACTTATTACCTCTACCTGATTTACGTGGTCATCACGCTCGTAAACCTATATTAGCGCTTTCGACAAGATGCTGCTGCTAACGTAACCGCGTGCCGGGATAAACGTCCGTCCGACCTTCGCCCGTTGCGGACGGTCTACAGTGAAGGTCCGCGCCCATTACACCCGGTCCGCTCCGCTAGACGTCTGCTCCCGTTCCGGCGCGTTCGGCCGCTTTCCCGTCGGATCTCGCCGGCGGCCGTTCCCTGTATCATCCCGTGACCTGCCGTCCGCTCTCCGGAGCGGCACACGCCCCGACCGAGCCGTGGCGCAACCGCCGCCCGCCGGTGACCCGCCGGTGACCCGGGCTGAGCGGCCGCTCCCAATCCCCGCGTCTCCGGTGCCCCCGGGCGTGTATCTCAGACCCCGCCCGAGCCGCCGCGCGGGGACGAGCACGGAGCGGCGCCGGCTCGGGACGGCCACCGGAGCGAACCGCTGCGCACCGCGGGGTACAGCGGCAGATGGGAGCGCTCCGCGCGTTGGCCAACTGTGGCCGAGTTGCGTCATGTTTTGTGTCGCTGGGATGGTATTTGTAGGTAATAAACCGCCGCGGGATGGGCCAGAGATCACCTGGTGAACGATTGATCACCGTAAAGTGACTTTTTGATGAGAGCACACGGTGGGATGTTTCATAAATAAGACCATGAGGTAGGGAGGTAGACGTTGCCATGGGCCCTATCGCGCACTCAGAGTATATTATCGCACCGACTATATGTGGACATGACACTCGAGCGCACCGCGCGGGATTTGCCGGTATCCAAGTGGGCCGATATGATACCTTCCGGGCTTACCGACACCGGGAGCACCGATTGCCCGTCGGTCCCGTTCCTATGCCATCCACTCCACAGCTGCTTCTTGTGAGACTTGAGAGGGAGAGATCAGGAGCAATCTCCCTGTGTACCGTGCACAGGGTCACTGTCATTCCTCTATCAGCCTGTATGCATCATGACTCGGGTGCTTAATATCTATCAGTTTATCGTGTAACGTGCATGCACTGTGTGACCAGTGTGTTGACTTTGCACTAACAGGCAAACAAGCCTCGAAGGCTCGAGTTCTGCTACCGACCATACACACCGATTAGCTGAGCGGAAGCAGCGCTCACCGCCGCTGCTTTGTTCGCCCTGGAGCGGTCGCTATTTGTGGTCGCCGTTATCCCGTGGTGCGCGTGGAAGGACGCAGGGACAGCCGCCGGGCGCTGGCGCCCAGTACCTTGACGGATAATTGCTCAATCGACGAACGGTATAATGGAAAATGCCCGTCTCGTCTCCGTCAAGTCCATGCCGGCGTCGGTGCGTCTTATGATGGCATTGAGGACGGAATTTAGAATTATGAAATATTTTCTGACGATAATGTGTTCACCTGATACTTTCTCTACATCATTATTCAAAGGCAACCGATGACCTGCTGTGATATAATGAAACTCAAACAATGAATGGTTATGCAAATCGGAGCGCAATGTTAGACAGACAACTTTTCCGTCACAAAACGCGACACACGCTGTAAATCTGATCACCGTTCAGCGCCATGAGCAGGTTGTGTCAGGCCCCGGTTGGTCTGACCGGCCGAGCCCGTCGCCCGCACAGTGCCGAGCCCCGGGCGGCGGCGGGCCGGGCGTATATCTCACAAGGCCGGCCGATCTCGGGGCGGCGCGGGGTCAGGGGTCAGAGCTGCGCGGGGTCAGGGGTCAGAGCGGCGGGCGCGGCCGGTCCGGGTCGCCCTGACGTAACGCTCGGCACGGGTCACAGGTCAGAGCAGGCGGCGGACGGGGTGGCGCCGGCTGCGCGGGCGTGGTTACCGTCAGAACGGGGGGGGGGGGGGGGGGGGGAGGCACGCGGCCTTGTAATCTGGTCTGTATAAATGATCAAAGGCGAGGATTTCATCTCATGCGGTTACAGTTCCATTTCCATTTCTTTTTATACAATTAAACGTCAGGGTCACGTCAGGCGTCAAGTTCATATGTCACTTCCCGGCGCTTCTCATTTGCTCGCAGTCCCGGTAATTATCATCAGAGCTGTGCGACCCAAATATCGCCGACCACCCGAGCGCTGATGTGCCACTCCCGCTGAGGGCCGGACAGAGTGATTTCCCCACCGGTGGTGCCGCGGCGCCGGCGGCGGGGCCAGTACCGGTCCGGCCGGCCCGCGGCGGGGCCAGCCGGTTCCCAGCCGTCTGGGGAAGGGCGCGGTCTCCCGCCGGGCGTGGCCGGACGGGGAGGGGAGCGTGTGACCCCTGCGGGGAGGGCGGTCCGCTGGAGATCACACGGGAGACAGTCCTGTGGTAAATCCCGCCGCTGACCTCGCCGGTCCCGTCGCCGCCGTCATTTGGTAGTGCCCGCCGCCCGGGTCACCCGTTTCTCCAGTACCAGCCTTTCTCCAGGGCGAGGTGAACGGCACCATGAGCCGACGGGCGGACGGAAATGAGACCGGCCCCCGTCCGGTACACCGTTCAAACATTCACATCATGGTCACATGAGAAGCTTAATTAACCGGGTTTTGTGATATGGCCATACCAAGACTAGTCATCCTTCGTAACGCAAATCAATAAAGCAGAAGAGATGTGGTTAATACGGACATAAAGTGAGCCCCTGGCAAAGGGCGATGACCGCCAATACACACTCCGTCGTTTGGTGCGCAGCCTGATAGGATGTAGATTATAGACGTCTCTGACCTGTTGTGACCCACTGTGACCTGTCCCTCTTTTCCACAGGTCGGTGTGTGATGTGCCGCCGCTGTGACCTGCTGTGACCCGCTGTGACCACTGACCCGACCCTCCCCCATAGGTCGATGCGTCATGTGCCGCCACTGCGACCTACTGTGACCTGCTGAGACCCCTGTGACCTAACCCCTCCCTCCCCCACAGGTCGGTGTGTCATGTGCCGCCGCTGCGACCTGCTGTGACCTGCTGAGACCCCTGTGACCTGACCCCTCCCTCCCCCCCCCACAGGTCGGTGTGTGATGTGCCGCCGCTGCGACCTTCTGACGCCCGTCAGCTGGCCCATCTGCTGCAAGAACCACTTCCTGTGCTGTCGGCCCATCGCGCGCGCCTGCCAGTCCTGCAACGTCACGGAGCTCGTCTCGTTCTGCCAGGACAAGTTCGGACGCTGCTAGGCCCGGCGGCACGCCCCGCGCATACAGCGAGCTACAGGGGCTCGTAACGAGCTCACACCTCTGTCCGAGCTGGCAGAGCGCCGACGGTGGGTCCGCTGCTGTGGTCGAGCTCCACCTGAAGTCGGCGTGATTATGTGAGATATTCTCATCTCCAGCCGGCTTCAGTCACGACGCATATTCTCCGACTTAACTATAGACGGTTACGGTTGTCAAAATGCGCTTGAGGCGCAGACTTGAGTCGCCGATGAGAAAGTACTTCAGCCGCCCGTATCTTGAGTGCCCCTTGTCCGCTGCTGATCGCTAGCTGATAATTGGCATTTGCAATCTGATACGCACATATAGCTGAACCGGGCCCAGCTCAGCGGCGGTTCAGCTGATCGTGGGAGGACAGAAGGCCAAAATTCGAGGTGCCAAGTGACGTGCCGCTTTTGGCTGACCTGAGTTAGCTATCGTTTCAATTTCTTTTCAGCCCTTCGTGTAACAATCATTTGAGCTTATTGGCAATCAAATTTCTACTTGCACCAAGTTCATTCGAAGTGCCTAAAGTCGCATACAACATGTCGAACAACTAAAACTAGGCCCGTAACTCTGATGATGTTTAGCTGTAAGACGATGTAGATCTGTCGTGATATTTATTGTCTGTGTGCTCGTGCCGTCTCTGAGAGTGAACTCCGTCGGCCTCTAAGGCACGAGTTCCGTCCAGTGACCTGTCGTGGATCGCAGAGTGCGTGTCCTGTGCGTTACATGGTTCAGTAGTCAGTGCGGCACAGCACAATACACATGTGACAGGAGAACGGTGGTGTGTTGCTGCTCCGGCCAACGTTCAGAGTCGAACACGGATCCCATTGTTCGATACCGACCCTTCATAGACGCGCCGCACACTGAACTGATAAGTTTCTCCCGCCGTATGGGAAGTCTCAACAGCCGTTTACACAATGAAACTGGCGGAGCGCGCTGCCAGACGCACCACTGCCCGAGCCACCAGCGTCCAGCCGTGGCTGGTGGCTGGTCCGACGGCACGGCTGGTGCCCGAGTCACCAGCCGTGGCGTGGGATGCGGCCCATCCCGACGGCAGGGCCCCACCCACCTACCCGCTAAAGCCACCCTTCCCCTGCCATCCCCGGCCCGGGTCGGAGCTCAGTGGCCACGGGCGCTGCACGCACGCACCACCTGTGTTTGAGGCGGTGACGGACCGCCCGCGACCCGACCGAGGTCACGGACCATCAGCCGATAACCGTGACCAAATGTCACGTGACGGTGCTGATGGTGAGGCGTTAGTCACGTGACTGGAGGGAATAGGTCCGCAGGCGTGCCGCGTGATGCCTCTTGGGGCCGGCCACGGCCGTGTCGAATATCCCGATTTCACTGTGACCTATCGCGTGTGATTGGTGTTCCGTCCCCTAAATGATGCACCGTTTGTTGGGCTGAGCCACTACAACTCACGCCTCTTCTTTCCTCCGCGCTCTTCCCCTCTCCATGCACCTCTCCATACCTCAAACAATGCGATCACATTTCGTACAGCCTGTATTACATGTCTCCCTCCCCTCCCACCCACAGTGAGTCCCCTCCCCCGTCCCCCCGCGGTACCCCTCCCTCACATGTAGATGTGCGGCGCGTCGGCCGGGGGCCGGGTCGGCCGCGGCCTCAGGTCACCCACTGCCGGCACCACGGCCGACAGGGCGCCGTGCAGGGCGGCAGCCGTCTCGGCGTCCGGCCGCAGCGCAGACGTGTAGAGCATCAGCAGACAGGCGGCGCGGCGGGCCAGGCAGCACCGACTCAACACTGTGGAGAGGAGAGGAAGCTGTCAGTGGGAGGAGGCAATCAGCAGACAGGCGGCGCGGCGGGCCACAGCAGCACCGGCTCAACACTGCGGAGAGGAGGGAAACTGTCAGTGGGAGGGGGCAGTCAGCAGACAGGCGGCGCGGGCAGCACCGACTCAACACTGTGGAAAAAGGGACAGTCTGAGGGAGGCAGACAGGCAGCACCGACTCAACACTGCGGAGAGGAGAGGGAGAGGCAGTCAGCAGATAGGCGGCGCGGCGGGCCAGGCAGCAGCGGCTCAACACTGTGGCGGAGATATGGGACGGTCAGTGGACGGGGAGCGGGCAATCAGTTCATTGGGAGGGTGACGGTCGGTGGGAGGGGTGTCAGTGTCTGCGCAAAACGGCCGAACTCGCCACAATAGCAAACTCGACAACTCTGCTGCCACGGCGCGGTGGGCGGTACGAGCGACCATCCTCAGAGAGTGGCTGAATGGATACAGTAGACATAAATAAACCACGAGAGAAGACAGGGGCATTTGTGATACAAAAGGAACGCGTGAAACGCTGACCGCTGCTAAACGGACCGACTCGCTGGTGTCAAAGAACAGAACACAGACGACGGGGTCCGCACAACCCGACCCCCCCCCCCCCGCCGCCAGTCAGCAATAGCCGGCAGTCAGCGACTGTCGACGGTTGTCTGTCTGTTGGAGAGTCGTGGCCAGACCACACGCCGCTATCGATGTGTCTGGGTGAATATCACGCCACATAAGTCACGCCGCGAAAGGTCACGAGGCAGCCCACCGGTCTTCAGATCGACACTGGGCGTGAAGTACAGGGTGCGGCGGCACGCCATAAACTGTCTGCGTGCCGCTCGAGAGCGCAGTCGTGCATCCGCCCGCGGCGAGCACCGCTGTGGCAACTCGGGCGCGACCGGGCCAGTTCTGGTTCACATGCATATTCAGCGGCGGCGGCACCGGGATCAGGGCCGACCAAACGCGTTACTCCTGCGCCAAACGACCACGATCTGGCCCAGACTCGGGCCGGGGCTCCAATCGCCGCCGGGCCCGAGATAGGACCCGGCCTCGGCCAAGGTCGGCGCCCGGCCGGCCGGCCCGTCCTCCCGGCCTGGGAACCGCCGCCGCCGCCCCCGCCGGGTTCCAGGGCGGCAGCCGCCGGCCGCCGTCACCGGCCCACCACCGCGGTACTTTACTGACGCCGTCCACGGGCCCGCCCACGAACACAAATAACTCGCGGCTCGAATATGATCGATCATAGTCGCGCCGGGCCCGTCAGAGACGACCGTGGCGTAACCTGCCGGCCCGCGGCGCTCGGCGTATCAGTTTGTTCCAGCTGACCTCTGGGGCACCGCCGCCGGGTAGTCGCATCAAATGATCGATAGCTGTCAGCCGGTGGCTTTACCAACAGACTGCCAGCAACAAAACTGTCACCGTGCGCCTTGGCCGGTGTATTTGCCAATTCCTCGGGTTCAAACGGTACCTATCCGAAATATTTTGCTCATTGGCGATTGCCAATTATTAATGCCAAAGAAAATGAATTAATTAATGGATGCTGGAATGAATGGAGCCAAGTTTCCGTAATATTCCGCTGGACTGCAGCACAAGCGTACGAAGACGCATACCTACATACATAGATGAGCTCAAAGTTTAATTACCTATAGGTACTGCTGGTTACTATAACCGCATGAATGTGGGTATGATCAATCTACAGAGCCGAGTGGGCAAATACGAGATAAATAAAACAAATGACTGATATAATTCGGAAGCACTGAAGGATATCCCCTGGCGGCGACGTTTTAAGTTTTTTTTTTTTGTCGATCGGTCTGTCCCATCGCGTTCTAGCACACTGTATCCCAGATGTCACAGCACGCTAGCTCGAGAGCGAGACATTCACATGAGGAGCCCAGCCTGCATGCACTCTAAGCAGCCTCAGGCCATATCGCGCCGCGGATCCCCTGACGTGACCAGATTGGCAGCTTTGCTGGCGGATGCACCCATCCCAGACCGGTTATCCCGCCTCCATTCGATGGCCCTGTGGCCCGACATCTGTTCAGAGCGCGAGGCGGCGCCGGGGCTCAGCACGCGCCCGGACTGACAGATGAGCGTCACAAATCGGGCTGGCTGCGGGCCAGCGGAGCCGGACGGGCGGCGACAGGGGCGAGTGGAGGATGGGAGGCCCAGCCCCAGACACCCGGCTCCGGCAACCGACAGATAATGGAAGAGTTCAGTGGGACGGGCCCGGACGTATCAGCTGATATATAATTGAACTGACAATGTTATCATGAATGATGGGAAATGTGATGAGATGGTGCGAATGCAAGGCACATTGAGATAACAGCAAATGCGCCTACGAAAGTGTATGACGAGAGAAAAATATTTGTCTTATCTACAGCGTCTCATTGGGCATATAGGGCCTTGATTGGGCCCACGGCCGCGTGTCGAGCTTAGTGGCTGAGTCATTCGTCTCCTGCGGCCCCGTCCTGCAGTTCCATGAAGTGTTGGCAGGCATCCCAACCAGTTGCCATGGTGACCAAGTGTTATGACTCCGTCTGCGGCTGTGTTTCCATGACGACAACATTCGCAGTGAGCAAACAGTGAATCACAGACACTGACACCCGAGGATATTCATCGCCTAAACTTGACCTAAACCTCGGAGCAACATACTGCCACGTATCATCGTGGTTACGATGAGATCGGGTTGAATTGGGGCAAATGGGTAACCAAGCATCATATTACTTTGTCATACATTGGGAAGGCACTGATGATCCTGCTGCAACGGCCAAAAGTAGACCGACCCCGAACTCCACCGTCCCAAAACTGCTCCGTTTCAACTCCACCCCCCCCCCCACACGATTCCGCTCCGGCCAAGTTCTTTTCTATGTCCAACGAAGCCTACCGAAGGCTGTCAGCAGCGGAAACCAGGGCGATGCCAAAAACTTGGATATCATACTGTCTTCGAAATGATTCAGATTCAGCGAGCGGAAGGAAATGAATAAGACATTGGCCGGCGTTCGGAAGTGGTGATTCACTTTCCGCTAATCCTTTTCAAACGTGTTTAACGACACAAACGACTCCGTCCTGTACCATTTCACTCGGCTACGACAGCCGCAAAGTACCGACACCGGCTCACCACCAGTCACACCGGACGACCGAATATCTGCCCCGCCCCGCCCCGTCACTGAGCCCCCGGGTCACTACCCCCGGCTCAGCGCGCCGGCCAGCGGCCACGGCCCGCGGCCCGCACCCACCTCAACTGTCGGCAGCGATCAGCTCGCTGGCCTTTTTGACGTACGCCTCCATGGCGGCCTCCTTGGTCATGCCCTTCTTGCCGCTCCAGGCGTCCCACTTGGCCTTGCCCTTGAAGTCGAGCATGCCGGGTCGGTCCGTGTTGACGTCGCCCACGGTGCCCTGCTTGAAGAGAGCGTAGATCTCCAGCATGTCCGCGTCGGACGGCCGCGTCTTCAGCTTGGTCACGTCCTCGGACGCCTTCTTGAAGTCATCCTCGAGGCCCATGGCGGCGGCGGCGGCGGGTCTCGGACCGGGACACGGACGGGTGACGCGCTATCGAGCGGCACTGGCCAACTGACGGCGCGGCGGCGGCCACTGACGCCGATCGATGGCGGCTGACACACGCGAGCTCCGCCGGCGGCCCGGACCCTGTTTATTTATACACGGCAGATACGACACGGCAGTGACACGCGCGTGGGGAGGGGACACTGGGGAGCGGAGGCCGACGGACGACGGACGGGGCACGGAGGGCGGCACCCGGCACGGCAGCAGTGGCGTGAGGCACGCCGCGTGACGTCACTGACCGGTCCCCGGCGCATGCGCAGCACGGTAAACACCACGTGGTCAGACGGCGGCTCTAGCCGTCCAGACACGTGAATGGATGGGCCTGCTGGACCGGTGCCGCAGGGGCGCCGCCAGCACAACATATCGCGGAGAACTGGTGACGGAAAGACAGATGATTTCATTCTTTCTTCAGGCCGGGAAAACGCACTTTTAGCCTATTTTCATCATCCACCGCTTCGTCACGGGTTTGCTCCGCCAACTGGCCCCCTCAATGACGAGTAAAAACTCCGCACCCGGGTCGCTGACCGGCCGCCCCGGCAAAAAGCGTCACTATTCGAATCTGAGGCTGCATGTGTAGACGGCAGGCCGAGCGTCCCCCGCCGACTCCGACTTCCGCTGGGGTAGGACAGTAGCAGCGACACAAGCAGTGTGCATCGAGTCATGGACAGAGATCGCGCAACACGCCCGTGGACGTCCACCTTTCGGCGTATTTCATGGGCGATAAAGCAACGCGCAGTCGCACGGTCGGTAGGGGCCATGCCGTCGCGTCGTCATTAGAGTTGCGCACGATGAATAACCTTCAGAAGTCGTTTTCAATTTAATTGACCTTTTTTCTATTCAAGTAGCGAAGTAATCTTGGCCGTTGCCCCATACCCACGCTCCACCCCGCATAATGCATCCTGTAGAAAACGTTGTGACATCTTCGCTATCATATTCCATATTTCATCTGCAGTCTTCATAATCAATCATAAATCGGTAAGTCAACAGGTCACATACATTTTGGGTCAGGTCGAAGGTCAGGTCATCAAGGGTCATTCTCTCGATTTTCATCTTGGACGAATCGGTTCATAGCTCGTAATTTAGCCAACGCGCCGGGTAGAACTAGAGCTAGAGCAAAAAAAAAACAAAAAAAAAACACTAGACGGCTTTTTGTAGTTCGCTTGCTAAAGAGCACTCATATTTCACCCGGGGTCAAAAGTTAAGTATCCATATGTAGGTTTGCAATCCACGACCACATTTTCGTTGAAAACATCAGCAGTTACGTTCCACACTAAGCTTCATTAACTATGTTGATTTAACTGACACCGCGTTTCTCTTGTCAAGACGCGACCAGCGAGCTAGTTTGATTTGACCTTAAAAATGTCACCTCGAAAATTTGCCCAAAGGGCAAGATCATGACCTGACCGTAAAGTTTGCTGCATATCAGTCGAACCATATCGTCGTACTGAATATATTCAATGTGTTTTCATCGCTTCAGCATGTCTGTATCAAAAGTTGTTGCATCCCTCTCCAAGAAAAAAGGACTTCTTGTGTACCTTCCTAGCGCCCGATGAGCTCTGAGTAATAGGGTAGGGTAGGGTCATCGGATCAATTTTCCGTTTAAACTGTCGATATTGATCTGCTTTACGATGTTTGGGTGCAAGAATATTTTGATAGATTTCACATAACGAGGAGGCGGTTGATGATGACACATATCGATGGTAGACTTTTGTACTGAGTTGTCAGCGTGAAGATCCGTATCGACTGACCTGCGGCCGGCGTGCCTTTGACCACGTTGGGAGGCTCCAAAGATGTGAGCAAGGGCGGCAGCTTACACTGGCTGGTGGCCAAACAGCGAACCAGCAGTGACGGCCGCTCCTCATAGGGGGCAGCACTGCTCAGGTACTCTGCCAGCGGCGCCGAGCCGAGCGCCACCACTCTGGTAGCACCCTCGAACTGGCTCAGAACCTGAAACACGCACACGTTGCCTGACAAATGGGATACAGACCAGACTATATTAAGGTTCATGAAATCATGAACAGTCACCATAACTATATAACAATTTGACGGCCGTGTGGGCCCGTCCCTGTCGCCACCCGCCGTCTCTGGGCCCGTCCCCCGCAGCCATCTCCTGTCTCTTCCGCCACCCACCGTTCCTGTGCCTGTCCCCCGCCGTCTCTGTGGCTGCTGTGGCTGTCTTCACCCCCCCCTCACCACCACCACCACCCACCGTCTCTGAACTCGTTCTCCCGCCATCCACCGTCTCTGAGCCCGTCCCCCACCGCCACCCACCGTCTCTGAGCCCGTCCCCCCCGCCAACCACCGTCTCTGAGCCCGTCCCCTCCCCAACCGGCAACCAACGTCTCTGAGCCCGTCCCCTCCCCAACCACCGTCTCTGAGCCCGTCCCCTCCCCAACCACCGTCTCTGAGCCCGTCCCCTCCCCACCCACCCTCTCGAACCATCCCCTGCCGCCACCCACCGCCTCTGAGCCCGTCCCCCACCGCCACCCACCGTCTCTGAGCCCGTCCCCACCGCCACCCATCGTCTCTGAGCCCGTCCCCCACCGCCACCCACCGTCTCTGAGCCCGTCCCCCCCGCGACCCACCGTCTCAGCCAGCCAGTAGTGGTGGTCGTCGGCCAGGACGGAGTCGCAGCGCGCCACACAGGTCCGCGGACCGAGCCGGTACAGCCGGGCGGCCGGCGCCGGTCGGCGGAGCGCGTCACCGTCCGGCTCGGAACGCCGGGCGAGCTCCACAGTGGCCAGCAGAGGGCAGTCGGCCGGCAGCAGACAGTCCACGTACGCTGTGGGAGCGACGGGGTTGGTGTCAGCAGTTGGTGACAGGGGCAAAGAGTGGGCCGAGCTCTGGAAAATTAAGTACCTCAAGTGTTTTATCCCCTATTCAACTAAAAAAGCCATGTGGTAAAATGCTTTAATCTGCAGCTTATTCTATGAAATTGAGTACATAGCTCTATTATCACAGCTCACCAGGAATGCTGGAACTAAATACTACCAGCAGGCTTCTCCATCTGACTTTGAAATAATACAAATGGCTAGCCCCTTACCTGTTGCAAAATGACCACAAGCAAGGATCACAGTGTCAGCAGACAGATTCCCTTCCTCACTTGAGAAGGTAATTGTAAAGGGATTGCTGAAAAAGAGCAGAATGACACCAATTATTAGCTGACAGCATAATTATCAGGGAATAATTTCATGTCAACTGAACCAGTGAACACCAAACCAGGATAACTGAGCCACAGGAAATTCAGCCAGGCACCAGCCCATTGCCTCTGCTGCAATTCCTTGCAGTCTGACTATTAGGGTAGGGTGGACCATCATGACTGATGTTTCTCCATGTCATCGGGCTCATCATGGTCATTGGTCATGTTCACCGCTCACCTACCTGAAGTCATGTGTTGCTTCTTCATCATCCTCTGCATCATTGTAGGCTCTATTTGTAACTGGCAAAACTTCACCAAAGAATGTCGCCATCTCCTGATAATGACAGACTGTTACATACATTGCCGACACAACAGACAACACAAACAATGGTTGCTTATTGATACTGAGTCAAGGACGGTGTTTCACGGGAGCTGCTAGCACGATGCCAGCACACTGGAGAATTTGGTTTCCATTGGGAACATTAGCAAAATCAGATGCTCCAATTTTGAGACTATACCACAACCAGGCCAGACTGGAAAATCAACAAACTACGCTGGGACGCCTCATGGAGCTAAGGCCTAAGGTGCCAAATTCAGCACTAAAGATTTTACGGCAAAATTTTAGCACAGCTTGCACTGAAAGTTGAAGTTTTTTTAGCCAAATTTGAATGTTTATACTTAATACCATTTAAGCTAGGCACATGAAAAATGCACATGCAGCCGTATCGATGCCAGAAATGTGAAAAGTTCGATAAAAAATAAGAAGCTGGTTAAAAAAGGCAAGTTGATCTAGAATGCTTTTAAATAATTGTATCAGTATTAACGTGGCGAAGTAAAAAAAAATGAGCAGCATGAATGAATACCGTACATAAATCTTGCTAAAAAGTAATACCCCTATACCTACACCCTGAAACGGACGATGATTTTGTTGGGCCTTGAAACGATTGTTTTCCAAATTATTTTCGATGACAATGAAACAAAACAAGCTGTTTCGTTGTTTGCGCCAGGAAGGTATGAAGCGCGGCAGAATCACAACTTAATAAGTGTAACAAAAACGCAGCAACTCTTATACTATTATAATATTTGGTAAGTTTTAGTCTTACAAGGACTGAAGCCTAATCTTACCTTTTTAACCCCATTTAGTGACCTAAAATCTACTAACCTTCAGCTTTACTGCCTAAAAAATAAATTATATGAACCTTACACCTACGGATTTAAAGCTATCTACCTGAAAACTTCTGTCTAAATTTAGCTGCGTTTTTAAGTTATTCCTATATGATACATAACTGGCGCATGGTGAGATATGTTGCCGATTGCGCCAAAAAGCGCTAACCAACGTAACCAACCGAGGTTTCTAAAAAAAAGCTTTCTTAACATTTAATGAGTACAATAAAAAGGAGCAAAAATAGATTTATGTATTTGCCCGTTCATCGGTGACCTTGATTATTCAAGTCATAACTCCCAAAGTCTAATCTCCACATGTGCTGGCCAGTTCGCAATCTGTAGGATCAGGGTTGTCGATTTCTCAAAATGGTTGGGGGTGCTCAACCCCTGCACCGGGTGAAAGATTGCAGCTTTGCCATGGGGCACAACCGTACAAGGCATGGTTGGGTAATGGGTATCCCCATAAGGTACTAATAATCCCGGGATTTCCACTAATATTTCCCAAAGGTTGAACGTTCTTCAAAATCATTCTGTTCGCCCTAGTACTTGGCTACCTCATTACATAAACATCTTTCCGAAAAAAGTCGTACATTTGCCGGCAGCTCGGCAGCAGCCCCAGCACCTCTGTAATAAGGTGACAGAAACCGATGACCGCGGTTAGCACCGGTGCAGCAGCCCCTGCGGTCCACAGGGGCGGACATTGCGCGGGAGGCAACGGTATAGCTAGGAGGCTCTGGCGTTAATCAGACGATCACAATAATCGCAAAAAAATGACAGGTGATCGCTTTTCGATATTTATGGGTTTACGATTTTCCTCAGTGGCGTAGCCAGGTGGGCCCGTGAGGCACATGCCCCCCCCCCATCAGGTTCAGGGGCCCATCAGGTTATTCGGGCCTGAGGGGCACTGCGGCGCCAATTGGCCGCTGAGGGTCCAGGTTGGCTATATTTGGACTCAGAAGGGCCCCACAGGGCTCGTAAGAACACCTCATGGGCCCACAAGTACCAACATTAAGATCTCCATAAGGGCCCAAGCCAGCCTCTGAGGGCCACTTGCCGGCTTCTGGGGGTCTTAACCGGCCTATAGGGGCCAGCTCTAGGAGCTGCACACCCGCCTGTAATGGCCCCACACCCATTTCTCTGAGGGCCCCTATAACGGCGACTGTGAGGGCCCTCACCGGCACCCCTGAGCGCCACACCGGCGTCTCTGAGGGCCCCACACCCCTAACTCTGAGGCCCTACACCAATGCCTTTAAAAACCCTACATGGGCGGTTCTGAGGGCCCTTGACA